TTAATATCTATATAATAACAATAATTTTTTAAAAATAAAACTAATAAAATAAAAAAATAAAAATAAATATAAGGCCTATAAGTCAAACAAATTACATACAATAATAGTAACTCATATAAATAACAAATCTCAAACTAAACACATAACACATGCAGTAACAATAGTAACTTATAAGAACTCTTTTTTCTTTAAGCCAAGTATATAAATATATATATATATATATATGTAAGTTACCTAGTACTTGTTAAGTTAGTTATCAAGTATAGGTCTTTAAGTATTTAAATAAATACCAAATCTAAAAAGTTATATTTGAAAATTTTCAAATCAAATACCAAATATGACTCATGCCAGTCTTATTTCTAAAAATGCTCACCCTTACTAAGAAACATTTTCAAGCTATGCCTAATTTGTTTGTTACTGTTAATAATTGTATGATTGCTTTTCCTAAGGTGGTTAAGTTTCTATTATCTTGTACATCAAAACATACATTTTCTCACCCTACCAACAATTTCATATATATTTATGCAGGGACTCACTAATGTACATCACAAATTCAGTCATTGGCTTTGTGAAGGATTTTGGCCCTACCATTTGGAAATATGTCAAGTATCAGATCTATCCCAAGGATTATATATGCCATTTTGAAGCAATGCAAAAGAAGCTAGAAGACCGAGTAAATGACGTTGAGGCAGAATTAGAGACGCAACTTAACCAGCCTGGAAAGAAGGCAAGGAACGAAGTTGATGCTTGGCGTGAGGAAGCACACAAAGAAACTACTGTGAAGGTTGAAGATCTGATCTGCAAAGGAGGTTGTTTCACATTTATTTGCTCATCAAGAAAGCTTGATGAAAAGACTCGAGCACTGAACGAAGGAATATTTAGGGACGGAGAAAAATACACTAATGGTGGTGCGAGTTTGGTAATAGAAGATCACTCAATCCAATATTGTGTGAGTGTATTCGAAGAGAAGCAAAAGCAGTTGAAGTACCAAAAGGAAAAAATTGAGGCAAATTTGAAGACTCAGCTTAAGCAACCTGGAAAGATTGCCTGGAAGGAAGTTGAAGACTGGTTGGAGAAAGTAAGCCAACAAATTGCCATGAAGGTTGAAGATCTAATCAGCCAAGGGGAATGTTCCTCATCAACCAACCTCGAGGAAAAGATTGAAGAATTGAAGCGAATACTTGAGAAAGGAAAAGAATTCACTAATGATGTTGTCAGTTTGGTCGTAGATGATCACTCAAGAAAAGGAGTTGCACTACTCACTGAAAAATGCATTGCACGGGATGACGTGAAAGATAAAATCTTGCAATTGTTGAGGGGAGACAAGGTTAAAAGGATAGCAGTATGTGGAATGGGTGGCGTGGGCAAGACAACAATCATGAAGCAAGTCCACAACCAACTATTGAAAGAACCCAAATTTGATAAAGTTATTTGGGTTAAAGTATCAAAGGACTTTGATATTGTTGTTCAACAAAAAAATCAATTTGATATTCTCAAGTTTCAGAAGAGCATTGCAAGAAAATTGAGATTAGATTTGAAGAATGGAGATCAAGATGCAATAGAGCTTGCAGGACTGATATCAGATATATTGCAACAAGGTAGTTGTGTGTTAATTCTAGATGATGTGTGGGAGCCTTTTTCTCCAGAAGATGTTGGAATCCCTGATCTAGTTGGAAATAATGGTTGCAAGTTAGTGCTCACAACACGGTTGCAACAAAAGGTTGCTCGTGCAATGGAGTGTGAGGTGATCCAAGTGAAGCCTCTTATAGATGAAGAAGCCTTGAAATTATTCTTGGATAAATTTGGAAGTGCCGTGCTATCCTATCCTAGATTCAAAAGTGATATTGAGCCATTTTTGAAACAAATTTTGAAGAAATGTAATGGTCTACCTCTTGCTATTAGGGTAGTGGCAAAGACCATGAGAGGAAAATTTGATCGTTACTCATGGGAGATTGCAGGTAGAGAATTGAGCAAATCTGAAGAAATTATTGATCGTTTGAAATTCAGTTATGATCACTTGGAAGAACAATACAAGAAGTGTTTCTTATACCTTGCATTGTATCCTGAGGATCATGAAATCTCAAAAGAGGAGTTGATTGAGTTTTGGATTGAGGAGGGATTTATAATAGATGAAAGGGGATCTCGGGATTTAATGATTTGTGAGGGCCATGTTATTTTGGAGAAGTTGATAGACAATTGCATGTTAGAATTGGTTGAAAATAAATACAAAAAAGGTTGGGTGAGTGTGCAAGAATTGGCTAAAAGAAGATACAAAGAAGATTGTGTGAGTATGCATGATATTCTCCGAGAAATGGTATTGAATATCAGTCCTCAATTCATGGTGAAAGCTGGCATGGCTTTGGAAGAGCTACCAGAGGAGCATGAATGGAGAGAAGATCTTTTGAAAGTTTCTCTAATGAATAATAGCATAAGAGAAATTCCTTCAAGCATGTTGTCTCCTAAGTGTCCAATGCTCACAACCTTGTTGCTGTCCAATAACAGTATTACAACAATTCCAGAAGCTTTTTTTGATCAGATGCTTGGGCTGAAGATCCTTGATCTTTCCAATAATGAGTGCCTAGGTAGGTTGCCGAGTTCTGTTTCCAAATTGGAGAATCTTACTACACTACTACTGGAGAATTGTGAGTCCTTAAAAGAGGTACCATCTTTGTCCAACATTGGAGGCTTAAAAAAGTTAAACCTTTTTGGAACATCAATTGAAGAACTACCCCAAGGCCTCAACATGTTAACCAATGTAAAATATCTTTCGCTTGGTGGAAGATTATCTGAAATACCTGATGGACTGCTACGAAATCTCTCCAAACTTCAATATTTAGGAGTAGATTGGAGTATAGCACTGAAATGGGAAGAGATTGGAAGATTGAGGAAGGTGGAATCTCTTGATGGCCGGTTCTCTACGGTGGATAATATGAGCCTCTTTGTCAAGTCTGAAAGAAAGTTTCCAAATCGGTATAGAATTTTTGTTGGAAGTTACAATGAAAATGATGAATACAATTATAACAAAACCTTTTTAGATGCTAAGAAATTAATTGTATGCTGTCATATTGATATCTGTGGGGAGCCTAATTGGTTACCACCTGATGCACAAGGCTTCTACATCTGGGATTGCAAGGATGTGAAAAGCTTGAATGGCATTTCTGGCTTTCAAGATGCAACCGACTTGCGGCATTGCACCGTTGATAAATGTGATGGCATGGAGTTTGTGGTTTCCTCGTGCTGCTTAAAGCCGCTTCAAAACCTAGAGTCGTTGTACCTTTATGATTTGCCTAACTTGAATGCGGTGTTTGGAGAAGTAGGAGCAGTTGCTAAGTCAGTGCCATTGCCAGCCGGTACTTTTTCTTCTCTTCAAAAAATTAGTGTTTGGAGATGTGGAAAGATAAAAAAGTTATTACCACTTAGGTTGTTGCGGTATCTCCAGAATCTACATACTATTAAGGTTAGATGGTGTTATCAAATTGAGGAGATAATATGGTCCGAATATGAAGGAGAAGAAAAAGCCTTAGAAAAACTCACTCTACCCAAGTTACAAAGGTTGAAATTGTATTGTTTGCCCGCATTGAAGAGCATCTGCAGTAGTTCCAGTACTGTTTTGATCTGTGATTCCATCAAAAGGATTGAAATTAAGGTGAGCTACAAAATAGAAAGTGTTTTTTGGTCGGGGTTCAACCCAATTCCAACCCTTGAGTATCTTGAGGTTTGGTATTTAGGGAATCTGAAATCCGTGTTTGATGAAGAAGCTCTCAGTTTATCGACCTCTCCCACCACTTTTTTCTCTCTTAAAACAATTGATGTGTGTGGGTGCCCTGATTTAATGAAAGTATTCTCATCTGGATGTCTGCTTGGCTCCTTCCAATCTCTAGAGACTATTAAAGTTAGAGACTGTGACCAAATGGAGGAGCTGATATCATCATCGACCAACGAGGAAAAAAATGCCCTAGAAAAAATCACTCTACCCAATTTACAAAGGTTGGAATTGAAGAAGTTGCCCAAATTGAAGAGCATCTGTAGCAATTCTAGTGTGTTGATTTGTAATTCCATCAAGAGTTTGGAGATGGGCGATTGTGAGAAGCTAAAGAGGATTCCTCTGCATCTTTCGTCACTTGACAATGGCCAGCCTCCTTCCTTGAAACAAATTCAGGTAGACACAAAAGAATGCTGGGAATCATTGGAATGGGACCAATCCAATGCAAAGGATGTCCTTCTACCTTTTGTAAATTTCCGTTGGATGGGCTAAGAAGCAACGGAGTGCAGGCTCTTTGGTAATTGGGCGGTGCAAATGTAAGCCTTTTTAGCTTCAATTTGCTATTTTTGATTCTGATTCTTATTCAACTTAGTAGGAGTTTTCATTTTTTATGCTTCCTCCTTCCTTTCTATCTCAACAAATCTCTTTCTCTCACTCCTGTCTTTTCTTTTCAATGTCTTTTGTTTCTTCTCCCCATTGGCAGCAAAGCTGGAGTTGGACTCTGTTACCACAAGAAAGCTGGAGGAAATCACAATTGCTTGCATCTGTTGTTGTTGGATTTTCAATTTAACATACATAGGCTTGATATATATATATATATATATATTGGTGTGTTGTGATTTTAAATATGTCAAATTCTAATTGGAAATGTTTGTTTCTTTATTTGTGTAATTTTATATTTTAATCCTTTGTGGAAGGATCTGTCTTGTTTCCCATGTTATGTCTTTCTCTGCGTCTGCATCTTTGCTTTTATTGTAATAAGCATTTTACCTAAAATTGTGAGATATTACTGTATAACTTTGTTTTACACCATATTATTGATAGACATAATACTACAAAAGAGTAGTTTTATTTATACAATTTGGATTGTATTCATGTTTTTTTAATTGAACTTACGGCTAAATGTCATCAATGATCATTCCTATCTGAAAATAAAATTGTAGCGTCCATCCTTGGATATAGGATGTGCCACATTTCTATGGTCTGGCTGATATTTGTACCATTGGTGCTAAGTTAGAAAAGCATGTTGGTGATGAGAAGCAACTGGATTGCTACTAATTTACACAATCCAAAATGGTATTTGGTTGCTCTTTCTTTCTACTTTAGCCTTTAGCAAAAATTCCTATGGCATAGCTTTGTTTAAATACCAAATCTCGTCATTTGATCTTCAGTCACTCTTGAGAGCAGAATTTAATTTTTATGTCGTATCAAATGATGTGGGACAGAACAATTCTCATGAGTTTGTTCCTTTTTAAACAAGCTTATTGATATTGGTGAAGACAAAACATATACCAGGGAACAAAATCAATAACACTAATATAGATTTTCCATACAGAGTGGATGATGTCATAATCATAAACAAATGGCACCATCGTTCCATGGTGTTATGATGTAATTCTTAGTTATTATGATTCCAAAAGCAGCTGAGGCATATATATTCTAACCAGCATGCCATTTTCCTACCTACAACCTTTTTTGACAAGATTATGCATGCAGTCATTCAAGATTCATAGTTTGAACAATGTATCCAGTTTTATACCACGTCCTTGAACTAAACCTTTTGCTGTAACTAATGTATCTTGCAAGGGTACATATAAAAGGAGCTCAAATTTAAAACAACCACCAAGGCTTACTCTACCTTCTAAACAAAGTTATGCTTCAGTTCAACAATTTATTTCAGTTTTGACTGTCTACTAAACTATATAACTTTCACTGCTTTGGTGAAGTTGCATGATGTATTTAAGTGCAATAGAGAATCTCCCATATGTGTATGTGAATGTGGATTATTTTGACCCTCTTCCAGGTATGTGTCACAAACTTGGAGGATGCTTCTAAACATATTGGAGGAGTTCTGAAGTTTGTAAAGATGGAAAACCTTGAAGGAGCATGTAAGATGAAGGACTGGTAAGCTACTACACAGTTTTGTAACTAGCCTTCCATTGTTGTCATATTTCTGATTTTAAATGAATTTCAGCAACAACATTTTGTAACTAGCTTTCCTTACCTGAAGCCCCATCTTTGTTGCTGTTAAAGTGGGAAAATCCCACATCGAGTATAAAAGTAAGAAACTTGTGGGTTAAATACAAGGAAGACTACTCCACCTATTGCCAATTGGTTTTAGGTTGGATGCAAGCCCTGTGTTGTGCCCACATGCAGGATTTTCAATATGGTATCAAAGCCCAGGTTCTGCCTTGAGAAGCCCGTGTTAGCCCATTTGACAGGACCCGAAGTTGTTACCGGGCCTGTATTTAAAGGAGGCGTAACCCACGTGACAGGACCCAACATTCATAGCGGGCCTGCACGTGAGGGGTTGTGTTAAAGTGGGAAAATCCCACATCGAGTATAAAAGTAAGAAACTTGTGGGTTAAATACAAGGAAGGCTATTGCCAATTGGTTTTAGGTTGGATGCAAGCCTTGTGTTGAGCCTACATGCAGGATTTTCAATAGTTGCTTTCAATTGTGAATTCTTACTGAAGTATATGCTTTTGTGAATGATCAATCTCCACCTCTAGAGTGCGAACCAGACCTAATGACTACAGCGAAGATCGTCCTCCATGACTGGCAAAAACGCAGACTGCCCTTTCTTTTTCCTCCCTCATCAACTTGAGGATGGCTTGTCAGAATCACATACTGTTCATGGGATATAGATTAAGAGATAGTGTCTAATAATAGTCAGGCATATTTGCAGCACTTGAAGCCATAACAATCACAAATGTAATCTCATCCCAGCAGCGAAGAAGTGTGCCTGTTCAAAAGAATCTCTTCTTCAGTGAGAAAGAACTATAGAGTAAAAACGATGAGACAGCCATAGAGCTTCTTAATGATGACGAGACTGGAGATCAAGAAGAGCTAACAAGAGGGGGATACTAAGTTCCAGTAGTTGAGATAGACGTATCCCTGGAAGAACACATGGTTCTCTTTTTGGAACATTTCTGTTATCTTCCAAAATTATGAGTTTTGTTATATCTCGTGTAAAATCGTCCCTTCAAATTCTTGCAATTTTGATCCATGTAACTGACAGTGAGTAGGGTGTCCTGCAAATCAAGGACTGCATTGGCCAATGAAATGAGATGTGTATTTGTTCTTATCATTCCCATTACAATTCAAACACACTCCATTATGAAACCGATTGAAAATTTGTGATCTCCAAAGAGTGACATGTGGCTATTTGTTTTTCTAAGATTACTAGACGCATAGATAATGCATTTGATCTAGTTATAAATCATAGCCCTTACATACTCAATTTCGTTCTGAGTTTTTTTTTTTTTTTTTTTTTTTTTTTTTTTTTTTTTTTTTTTTTTGGCATCAGATAATAGGCTATAGGCCTTTTCCTTTGTCAAATCTCATTCCCAACTAATTAAAAATTCAAACTTGGTATCACTTTTAATTTTAACCAATTAATTCTCGTTGAGACTTCTTCTGTCCTTTCTTTCTTACAAAAAGACATATCCTAACCAACTATAATACACAAGAAAAGTTAGGATAAGGTACATGTACCATTACCTACTTTTATCTGATCACTGTTTCCCCTTTCTTTTCTTTTTTTTTTTTTAACTTTCAGTTGACTGATTTTCCATTATCTTAATTCTTACAGTTATAAGCATCTCATAGTTAGCTTTCACCCTTCATTGACTGAGATACTCTACCATTTCTTGTAATTATTTCTGTTTATGCATAATTTTATGTTTGTAATTATATAATTTTATATTATAATTATAAGTTGATAACCTCTTAAAATTTTAAAATTATAAAAATAATAAAAAATTATATATAAAAATATGAAAATATAAAATGTATAAAAACAGATCAAATCCAAACAAAAAATGACAAGGGAAATTAGGGTTTTATTCTGGCAAAAATGGAATATCAAGCTAAGATTCAACAAAACAGCACAGTTCAAACTCAAGATTCCAGCATCCAACCACTAAATGTAGGTAAGAAGACAACTGATCATTGAATATCATTCCTCTTTTTAACAACTTCATGTAAATTTAAATGGCAGCCATCAGAACATTACAAAAACTTCAAAGACGAAAAACGCCCAAAGCGAAATTTTCTGGAGAAGAGCAGATCAGGATTAGAAGGGAAGGATCCCTCCCACGCGACCTGCTCCATCCATCTCCGAAACCCCTTCTGTTCTACAGAGTTACCTAAAGCAAGGACCAATTTCTGAACCTTCAAGCCACTGTTTCTCTCCCTGTTGACCGGCCACCAAATTCGCCTCCAGAAAAGAATCCGTTCGTCCCCGACCGTTCGAATCCTTCAGTGTTACTCCCTCCTTACACCACAAACCAGCACATGTGCTCTCCCAAAAGAAGAACCGCCACCGGCCAGAATCTAGATCTGTTTTCTTCCCCTGATTTTTTTCGGTTCCTCCCTTCTAGCCAGGCTTCTGTGGCCGTTCAGTGGCCAGAACCCCTTCCCTCTTCAATGGCTTTTTGGTGATACTGACCAGCAAAGATGGTGGTGAGATGGAAAAACGGGCGGATGAAGGGAGCCTGAGAGGAGAAGATAACTCGGTTTTCTTCTTGAGAGGCTGTTTTTCTTTCATAGTATCAGCCGTTTGGGTTTTTGACTGAGGACTTGGGCCGGGTTCGTCAATTTAGTGGGCTTGCAGGCTTTTTACATCCTCTTGGATTAGGACCAGGCCTAATATTAATTTGTACATCTCAAGCAACAGTCTCCTAGGGGTGGCAATTTTTCTCGATCCCCACGGCACCCCGCAGAGGTCTTCTTCATGGGGACGGAGCGGGAAGGAATATTCTTTCTTGTGGGGTAGGGATGGGGGGATTTTCTCCCCGCGAAATTTCACGGGAAATTTTTCCGTCCTGCGGGGCCTCGTAGGGATTCCTATCCCCGCAAAAAATTAAAAAAACGTATATTTTAAATTTAATTTAACCTTTAAAATAAAACCCAAACCCAACCCAAATCCAATTTAATAAAAATTAAATTTTACCCAACTCAACCCAAATACCCAACCCAACCCATCATCCTCCTTCCAACCCTAATTTCCTAACCTTATTGTTTCCCTTTCTCCTCACTCACGCAATAGTGCAGCCATAACCCTCACTTCAGCCCTTCAATCACTCTCGGTCTCAGTTGAACAATCAAATTCTCACCTCACCTTCGACCTTTCCCTCCCTTTCTTGCTTCTACAATTTCTCTTCACTCACTCTCACGATCTCACCTTCAATTTTCCCTTTTTGTTGATTTAATTATTTATGTTAAATTAATTTTTATTTATGTTTGATGCAAAAAATATATATTTTGATATTAATTGATGGGGATGGGGAGGGACTCCCCGACCCCACGGGACCCCGTTGACATCCCTACAGTCTCCTGCAACACAATATTTAAATATAATAATTAAAATAATATCATTTAAAGCTAAATTTTATTCATTATATTTATGGCTTAGTAAATTTTGATTCATGACACATACGCATGTGATATAATTCGAATCTACAACTTCTTGTTTTTACAAAAGATTATTAATAATGTGCTAGTTGAATTGTTTGTAGCAACTAAATATTTTTATATATTGTAGTATGTTAATAATGAATAAATTTTATTTTATCAAATAAAATTATTTTAATGCTATTTATATTTTATTAGATGTGCATAAAAAATTAAAAAAATGAAACAACTAATTTTAGAGTAGAAGACTAATATATTATAACTTAGTTTAAAAAGATATTACTACGTAATTTATTTTTGTTTAGCAATGCATGTATCATTTCTTAACTTAGAATAGAAGTTCAATTGTCAATAACTTAAATAATTTAGTAATAATTTTTTTCTGCTAAAAATAAAAATTATTGAGTTTAAATTGCATAGCATATGGGTGATGTGAGATAAGAAATAAGAGAGAATTACCTCACATTGTACAATCAAAATAAAAAAAAAATAAGAGTTCAATTTAAGTAATCTATTTTTTATTTATTTAACATAGTAGACTGGTGAGCTTCTCTACTTAAATTATTCATTCATTTCACTATTTAATTTCTAAGTTAGGCACCTTTCGAGAGTGCTAGGTGAGAGTGCTAGGTCATGGTTATAGTTCTAAATTTTTCATATTTTTTTAATATGTCAAAAATATATAATATATAATACATTTAATATTTATTTTAATTAATATTTTATATATTTTTAAGATAGTAAAAAGAGAACAAAATTAAAAATTAAAACACTAAGAAACATCTCAAATTAAGCCTAATTTGTTTGTTTCTCTTGTTAATTGTATGATCTGACTTAATTTAATAAACAGTCTAGTAACTTTTGAATTTTTTTCTGTTTCATCTATTATCTATAAATAATTTCATATTCATCTACTATTTTTTAATTTAATTTAATTTAATTTAATTTAGTGTGTTAACTTCTAACAACTGTTTTACTTTATTTGATCAAATTGATCTTGAACTATATTTTTTTGTAAATTTTTACTCCTTGAAATTAATTTTGAAATAAAACTAATTTTATGAGGATGATAAATTTCTTTTACTGTCTGAGAAACTGTAACTTTTATCACAAGCTACTTCAGCTTTTTTTTTTTAACAATTCTCCTTTATAATAGAAACCACAATTATAGATATATTTTAATAGCCTGCATAATCTATTATGAACTATTTTATTGGTTAACACTACTCTATTTTAATTTTGATTTAACTTTTGCTATTTTTTTTGTTAAAACTAATGAAAGTTTTGTATGGTAGATTATTTAAAAAATTGTACAAAATTTATAGACTATTTAGGAAAAAAACTAACTTTCTAAACTAAAATGAAATTAAGCTAATAATTAATAGAGCAATACTTGAATTAATTCGATCCCTTTCCTATGGTTATTAAGTTTCTACTATCTTTTTTTTTTTTTATCAGCAAAAGATAATATTATTAAGTTGGAGTACAAGGGGTACTCCTACCCGTACAAAAAGAGTAAATTATAAAGTTAGGGTGATACAATTAACACTTTCATACGAAACTTTACCCTAAAATCTACCGCAAAATATAGATCTTCCAAACAGTGATGGCATGGCCTTCCTTATCCTACAACTGTTTTTATCCTCGTGTGTTCTTTGTTGGGCAACTAAGGCATCCTTTTTGATGTCGTTTCGCAAGCGTGAGCAGGACATATATACCATAGCTCCTTTGTGATTTCTGGCCACTGTTTTGCTTTAATCCATTGGAAGGTTTGGAATTTAATCACCTCAATCATCTTGTCCTGAGGGTCCAAATTTGCCTTAAAGATCTTCTAATTTCTCCATAGCCACATATTTCATACAACTGTAAACCAAATCACCTTCCAAGCTTCCTGTGCGAATTTATTGTTGAAAACTCCTGCATGCTAGATCAAGTGGTTCCAACCCTTTTATTGGGGCGCCACATTAATACCCCACCATTGATAACATGATGACCACACCTTCCATGCTATTGGACATGAAAACAAAAGGTGGTTTGCACTTTCAACCTCTTTCCCACATAAAACACATGACTGATCTTCTTCACTGCCCAACACTCCTCGTTTCTGTAGATTATCTTTTGTTGGGATTTTATTTTGCATCACTTTCCAAGCAAAAGCAGCAACTTTTAATGGTACCCTTCTATTCCATATCAGATTGTAGTCTCCAGGCAAATCGGGGATGTGTGTTGTATTTAATAGATTGTATGCAAAGGACATTGAATATTTGCCTCTAGGATCCTTCTTCCATATCCATCTATCTTCTTGTCCTTGAACCAACTTCCTTTTTCGAACTTCCTCTCTAAGTTCCTACAAGATGTCAATTTCCCAAGCAAAAAGTTCTCTCCTCCAACTCCAACTCCATTGCCACTCCCCATCTCACCATTCTCCCATATTAGATATCAAAGCCTCCTTATTGCTTGTTATATTGAACCATCTATAAAATCTATCTTTCAATGAATAATTACCCACCCATTGGTCATGCCAAAATAATGTTCCATTCCCTTCCCCAACCAACTTCTCGATCCCAATCTTAAACCATCCTTCTCTACCCATATCACTGTCATCAAGCTTCCATGTATCTTTCCACCACCTAGAGCAGGACGTACCCCACTCACCTCCCCTCCAAACATTCGTTCCATTCACATCATACTTATACCACAAAAACCTACTCTATAGAGACTCTTCATCCTCTAATAACCTCCATCTCCACTTTCCTAATAATGCCACATTAAAGAGTCCTAAATTTTTTACTCCGAGACCCCCATCCCTTCTTTTCCTACACACTTTCTCCCACCCCACCCAAGCAATCCTAGCACTCTCCTCACTTCCTCCCCAAAGAAACCTTCTCTAAATTAGAGACATAATATTTATTACCTTCTTGGGTGCTTTAAGGGTTGAGAAATAGTAAACCGGGATACTCGAGAGGACAACGTTAAGAAGAATAATCCGCCCACCGAAAGACAGTGAGTCACACCTCCAAGTTGACAATTTACGTCTAAAACACTCAATCACAGGAGTCCAGGTAGATAATTTCCTTGGATTAGCTCCCATAGGGACCCCGAGGTAAATGAACGGTATCTTTCCCACCATGCAATTTAGCATATCAGCCAGAACATTCAATTCCTCTTCTTCCACATTAACTCCAATTAAAGAACTTTTAAAAAAATTGACCTTCAAGCCTGAAACAAGCTCAAAGCTCTTGAAGATGCATTTGATTGCCCATACATTCTCCTTAGTTGCCTCACAACAAAGGATTGTATTATCCGCAAAATGTAGGTGTGTTATTTCCATTCCCCCATGACCAATAGACACCCCTTTAAAGATTCTTCTTCTACCACTTTTGTTATTAAACCATTAAGAGCCTCAGCCACCACAAGAAATAAGAGGCTAGTGGGTCACCTTGGCAGAGCCCTTTCGATATTTGAAACTCTTCCGTAAGATTGCCATTTACCAAAACCGAGACAGAAGCAGAGTGAAGACATCCTTTGATCCAACAACACCATTTTGAACAAAAGCCCAATTTATCAAACATGAAATCTAGAAATTCTCAAATTCACGCTGTCATTAGCCTTTTCGAAGTCTGCCTTGAAAAATACTGTGGCATTCTTCCTTCTTTTTGCCTCATGAATCAGTTCATTTGTGATTATAATGCCATCTGCAATTTGTCTCCCTCCAACAAAAGCAAATTGGTTGGGGCTAATGATGGAATCCATAACTCTTCTCATTCGGTTAGCCAGGAGTTTAAAGACTATTTTATACATGCACCCAATGAGAGAGATTGGACGATAATCAATTCAACTGTGTGCAGGCTGATGTTTGTGCCATTGGAACTGTGTTAGAAAAGCATGCTGGTGATGAGAAGCTACTTGATCACTACTAATTAACACAATCCAAACAGGTATTTGTTGCTCTTTCCTTTTACTACAGCAAAATTCCTATCACAATAACTTTGTTTGAATACCTAATCTCGTCATTTGATCTTCAGTCACTCTTAAGAGCAGAGCTGAATTAATTTCTATGCGTGTCTAATGATGGAGGAAATAACAGATCTTATGAGGTTGTAATTCTTAGTTCTTAGCCTTCCAAAAGCAGCTGAGTTATATATATTCTAATCAGCATGCCATTTTTCCTACCTTCAACCTTTTTTGACAAGATTATGCATACAGTAGTCATTCAAGATTCATAATTTGAACTATGTTCTACCCACTTTATATCATGTTTTTGAACTAAACCTTTTGCTGTAACTGATATATCTTGTAAGGGTACATATAAAAGCATCTCAAATTTAAAACAGCAACTAGGGCTTACTCTACCTTCTAAATAAAGTTATGCTTCAGTTCAACCATCATCATTGGCATTTTGTTTGATAATTTATTTCAGTTTTGACTGTCTACTAAACTATATAACTTTCATTGCTTTGGTGAAGTTGCATAATGTATTTAAGTGCAATAGAGAATCTCCCATATGTGTATGTGAATGTGGATTATTTTGACCCTCTTCCCGGTATGTGTCACAAACTTGGGAGGATCCTTCTGAACATTGTAAAGATGGAGCCCCTGGAAGGAGCATGTAAGATGAAGGACTGGTAAGCTACTATGCGGTTTTGTAACTAGACTTCCATTGTTATCATATTTCTGATTTAAAATGAATTTTAGAACAGTATTTTGTAACTAGCTTTCCCTACTTGAATCCCTATCTTTGTTGCTTTCAATTGTGAATTCTCACTGATTTATATGCTTCTGTGAATGATCAATCTCCATCTCCAAGGGGAAAAACCAGATCTGATGACTGCGGGAATGATGGTCCTCCATGACTGGCAAAGAAACAGACTGCCCTTTCTTGTTCCTCCCTCATCAACCTGAGGATGGCTTGTCAGAATCACATACCGTTCATGGGATAGATGAAGAGACAGTGGCTAATAATAGTCTGGCATATTTGCAGCACTTGAAGTCATAACAATCACAAATGTAATCTCATCCCAGCAGCAAAGAAGTGTGCCTATTCAAAGGAATCTCTTCTTCAGTGAGAAAGAAATACGGAGTAAAAATGATGAGACAGCCATTGAACTTCCTAATGTTGTTGAGACTGGAGATCAAGAAGAGCTAACATGAGGGAGATGCCAAGTTCCAGCAGCTGAGGTAGACGTATCCCTGGATGAACACATAGCTCTCTTTTTGTGGTTAGGAATTATTAGTTTCGAGTCCAACATATCTGTTATCTTACAAAATGATGAGTTTTAGTTATATCTCGTGTAAAGTCATCCCTGCAAATTCATTCTGGGATTTTTGATCCATGTTACTAACAGTGAGTAGGATGTCCTGACTTTAATATCAACATTAAGAAACAGGGTGACCCTGGCAATTAAAGAAATCATTCAAGTTTTTCCCATGATGGTTGAGCTGTTCTTATCATCACTTGGTTAGCACTTCTAATCATCTCAGACAAATCAAGAACTGCTTTGGCCATTGAAATGAGATGTGTATTTGTTCTTATCATTCCCATCACAATTCAGACAGACTCCATTATGAAACTGATTGAACATTTGTGCTCTTCGGAGAGTGTTACGTGGCTATTTTTTTCTAAGATTACTAGATGCATAAATAATGGATATCATCTATTCATAATTCATAGCCCTCACATAGGAATTAGATACTCAATTTCGTACTAGAATATTATGCAAACTAAATTGATACAGATCGGAAAAGGTTACGAACCAAATACATATTATTATTTTGGATATGTCAAAGGATTAATATACCATTATATTTTAAGACGTCCATTGTTTATAATTGTGGCTTCAATTTTGGGTATGCAATATATTTAGGTAATATTTTTATGAAAAAATGTTTATCAACTTGCAAAAAAATTATGCAAAAAAAATCTTTAAATTACTTCATTTTAATTAATTTCTATTGAAAAAGATTAAACTATAATAATTTTTAGAATATTAATGAAGTTGTTTTAGTTTTTTTTATAATACTTTATTAAGATTATATAATTTTGAATTTTTTTGGCTTAATTTTTTTTTTTTTTGCAAATTTGACTAATATATAATAATATTATATTTTTATATACTTATTTTTA